GAGTGGCAAGAACGGCAGGGTATGTGTGTTTTCTGTTTAGATGCACACCATATATTTTGAGCACACCTCGTAGACAATAATCCCGGTCCTTCTGGAATTCATATTGTAGTATGAGATTATAGCAGAATCAGAGAACCCTGAAAAAGACAATTTCAGATGGTCACACTTCCTTGAAAGGCAATCAGGAAGGGCATTGGGCAAGTGGCCAGGCCCTGACACCTTAGGTGGGATGGCCAGGCTGGGAGTCTGCAGAGCTGGCATCCGTCTGAGCCCTCAAGAGTTGCTTCTCGGCTTCAGTTTAGGACTCCACATGGGCCGTTCATGCTCTAAGGCCCAAGATAAGCGAATTTGCTGCTGCTGCTGCTGCTCTACCAGCAGGAGCGAACCCTGGAGTAATTCACGTTCACAGCAGCCACGGGGCTTGGGTGTAACTTGGCGTAGAGCACTTACTTAGCATGCACGGGGCTTGACCCCACAGCACCCACATGTCCGTGCACATACACACACAGGAATGCAGTGGGTAAAGAAGGTATGTTAGGATATGTTTGGGGTTGTTTTGTTTTGTTTTTGAGACGGTCTTGCTATGTGGTTCAGCTAGGCCTGGAACCCATTATGTAACCTTGGCTGGCCTTGAACTCAAGGGGATCCTCCTGCCTCAGCCTTCTGAGGGCTGGGATGACAGGTGTACACCACCACACCCAGCTGTTAGGGTAGGGAATAGAGCAAGTACAGTGAGAATGAATGAGAATATATCGTCACCTCAGTGGAATTACGATGAAGCCATGAACAAGAAGCCAGGGCATAAGAACAGGATTCCAGAATACAGCATTCAAGGGCAAGTGGAACTAAATTGTCACATTGTTTAGGGTGCATCATGGGTAGCTGAATGAGTCCTACAGAAAAATAGGAAAAACATTTTTCTATGAAACTCAAAGGATGGTGCTACACCTGCCTGGCAAGTGCAAGGTCCTGAGTTTGATCCCCAGTATGGGAAAAAAACCACAAGTGGGTTGGACAACTAAGCTCAGACATCAGTAAAGCCAACTGCAGATAGCTAGTGACATCCTGTTTCTTAATCTGGAGGTCATTTTACAATGACTGGTTCAGTTTGTTTGTATTGTGCACTTTGTGAGTATCACATTTCACAAAAAGAAACATTTTAAGGAGGGAGCCAGCACTCTAGGAAGCTGAGGCACTAGGATCCCAAGCCCAGCCTGGGCAGTTTAGCAACTTAGCAAGACCCCATTTCAACATAAAAAGGACCAGGGATGTAGCTCAGTGCAAAGGCCCTGGGTTCGATCCCCAGTGCCAAATAATAATAAGAAAGGAGACATACTCAGGGACAAGCACAGTAAGAGTGTATTAAGCAAGGGCAACTTTCAGTTTCCAGTTTGAACAGGGTTGGCCCCTTGGGACCGAAGCCAGGGCCCCCCCACACACCCGCCCACCCTGAAGCCTCTGGGAAATGCTCAGCCAGGAGTGGGTACCTGGAAAGGTGCCAGGGTTGCCATGGCAACGGCCTAGGGACGAGGCTGCCACTCCCCTCCCTCCCCCACTCCAGCGGGGGCTCGGCCCATTTACCCTTTAACTCCACTGAGGGCGCGGGGCTGGACCCAGGACTCATGTGGTGGCCTTGTCGCCAGATGGCCCAGGAGGTCCCTTGAAAGACAGGGACTTCGCCAGGGCACTGCATTCTTGACTTCTGTCACAGAAGTGGATTTCAGGACGTCTCCCAGAAAATCCCTTTGAGAGGGGAGGGGAAGGGGCTGCAGCAGAAGCTGGGGTGCGGGTCCAGTGGGGCAGCCAGGCTGAGCAGCCCCACCCTAAGCAAGAGACCCAAACACAGGGAGAGCAGAAGCCCCCGCTGTCCTGCTCCCAGTCGCCCGCCAGCCTCCTCCCGGAGCCAAGTCACTGATTTTAAGCAAAAGCAGTTTTTCTCAGAAGAAAACACAAATCATGCTTTTTGTTTCCTTGTTTCAATTTTTTAAAAAACAAACCTTTTCACTATGTACTTCAGGCTGGCCTTGAACTCACTATGTAGTTCAGGCTGGCCTCAAATTCATAGCGATCCTCCTGCCTCAGCCTCCCCAGTGCTAGGATATCAGCCGAGTGCACCATGACTGGCTACAAATGAGGCTTTTAATGTGTGAGCTTAGGGTCTTCTGCCGCTCTGATGACCCCCAGGTTTTATTCTCCTTTACTCTGGGGGACACCATGGCGAGCACACCCCGGTGGAATGGTGTTCCTGGCTTTTGAAGGCAATAAGCTTGTTGAGGGGTGGGAGCGGGGAAGGGGAGAACACACAGTGCTCCGAGTGGCCCCACAGCGGCCTCTTGCCTCAGCGTCTTAGGGAAGCAGGACAGACTGAGGGCTCTGCCGCGGGCGTCCACCCCAGCCACGCCTGTCCGAGGTGCTGGGACTGGAGGACGGAGGGGCCGCGTCTGTTCCTCACCTCACCTCCGCATCTCCCCACCGCCTGTCTGCGCCCTTCCCAGGGTGACCGATCTCAACGCCAAGCATGAGCGCCGCCCCTTTTGGTATCGGGGATTGAACTTGGGACCCTGCACCTGCAAGGCAGGCACGGTGCCACTGAGCTAAATCCTCCGCCCTCCACCCCCCCATCTCCCCCCCATTTTTGATCCCTCTTTATTAAGCAGCAAGACGCGCCCAGTCCGAGGCGGTTCTCTTGCGGTGGCAGAGGGGACCGCAAGCACGGGGTGACTGGAAAGGAGCCCATGTCCGTTTTCAAAGTGAGGAACATGGACCGCGACCTCAGCCAGGCTGCACAGGACGGGCCCTCCGTGGTCCACAAGGCTGGACGGAGGGAAGAAGAATGTATGGAGATCCAGGGGCTGCAAGTGCAAAGGCCCTGGGTTCAGAAGGAGTGCAGAGGGCGCTGCGGCTGCAGCCCAGAGAAGCAGAAGTCGGGGCACAGCCTCGGGACAGGTGCATTGGGTGGGGCCAGCGCTGGAAGGTGTGGTGTTCAGCTCTGAGGGGACACGAGGTGGCCCTCTCACCAGCCCGCCCCTCCTCCCAGCCTCCGCACCAGCGGAATTGCTCTAACGCTGATCGGGTCCTGTGCTCGCACTCAGACCGCCTCCGCAGCTTCTCAGTGCGCTGGAGCGAGTCCGAGCACAGCCTGGCCTGGGCGGGGAGGCCACTCCGTCCCGCGTCCCTGTGCCAGGCTCCAGCATGTCTCCGCACCCTGTCGCCTCTGGTGTTCCCAATGCCCCCAGTCCTGACCTCTGGCTATGTGCTATTCTTTCCCCTTGAACTTTTCTTTCCTATCATGCTTATTTCTGAATTGATTTCTTTAAAGAAAAAAATGTCAAGCCTTCCAAATGAAATGGTAGAATAATGCACACATGCCGGGTACAGACTCAAAAGAACTCCAAACAACTGTGCGAGCAAAAAGCGTTTACCTGAATGCTCACAACAGATCAAAGAAACAACCCAGATGTCTGCTACCACATAAGCAAATGTATTTTACTGTACAAAAGAATAGGTTCAGCCATAAAAAAGAATGAAGGACCAGTACCTGATACAAAACGGATGGACCCTAAAAGCTATGTCAGGACAGGCTCAGTAGCACAGGCCTGTAATTCCAGAAGTAGGGAAGCTGAGGCAGGAGGATTTCTGGGAGTTCCAGGACAGCCTGGGCTACATAGTGAGACCCTTTCTCCAAAAAACAAAATAACAAAAACTTTTTGTTAAGTGAGAGCAGCTAGTCACAGAAAAGCACATGCCCTCTGAGGTCATTAACTGAAACACCACAAACAGGCAAATGCCTGGGATCAAAAGGCAGATTATTGGTTTCGGGGGGCGGCTGTGGCACAGGAAATGACTGATTCATGGAAACAGGGTTTCTGGGCTGATGGGAAAGTTCTGGAATGAGATAGTGGGTGTGGCTGCACAATATAAACACTCAATGCCACTAAACTGAACACTGTAAGATGGTTAAAATTGTACATTTTATGTTTTGTATAGTTTAAGCAGTTAGCACACGCACCCATATACTACCAGCTTGGAAATGTCAGAGCTGCAGCTGAGTCCCAGGGACACCCCTCCAGGACCCGGCCGCTTCTCCCTTCACAAACGGAACCCCCGGCCCAAATCGGGAGCTTCTTCTTCCATGGATATTCTCAGACTTTTACTCTTTATGCATGTACCCTTTATCTGGCCAGGTGCTTTTCAAAATCACACTGCTGATGCACTGTCATTTCTATCTCTGTGAAGTCAAAAATCTTAGGGCTGGGGATTTAGCTCAGTGGCCACACACCTGCCTTGCAAGTGCAAAGTCCTGAGTTCCATCCTGGTACCGGAAAAAAAAAATCTTAGTGATCCAGGTGTGATGGCGCACACCTGTAATTCCTGCAGTCTGGGAGGCTGAGGCAGGAGGGTCAAGGTTCAAGTTCAGCCTGAGCCATTTAGAGGCTCAGAGATAAAGAAGAGGGGCCAGGGATTTAACTCAGTGGTTCCACCACCTGCCTCGCAAGTTTAAAGTCCTGAGTTCGATCCCCGGTACCAAAAATAAATAAGTAAAGAAAGAAAGAAGGGCTGAGGATGCAGCTCAGCATGCCAGAAGCCCTTGGGTTCACGCCCCGGTGTGAAAGTGGATCGAAGCTGGTGAGGTTCAGTCCAGGAATCAGATCTGCTGCCAGTGTCTTGTCTTGGGGTTCTTCAGCTCTGTCCACCAAGAGTGAAGGCCAGGCTGGCACAGGCTGTTCTCTGCCACATTATCACCTGGGATGGTTCATGTTTCCTCGCTGATCTTCCTGCCCTATGGACGAAGCCATCCACTGGGTGGGTCAGTCATGACTGGTCACTCAGCCCTCACCCTGATGGGGACCGAGATTGCTCTCAGCGCCATGTGACACAGGCGCCATGTGACACAGGCACCATCAACCTCGTGCACACAGGACCTGCATGTTTCTGCTCTCCCGAAGGAGAAATTCCTGGAATTCCTGGCCTGAGATGGCCACTCCCAGCGCCACCCCTCCCAGCCACGGACATCAGACCTGTTTGCCACACTCGTGTCAGCAACTCGTGCCATGACTGTAGCTCAGACAGAGGCGCACGCAGGTGGAGCCCCAGCCTCCAAGCGGCCTGAGGCTCTGGGGAGGGGCCCCGATGGCTGCACCCTTCGAGCTTCTGCGGAAACATCGGGGCCCCAGGAGGCGATCAGGTAGCCCCTACTCCCAGTGGGAGCTTAGCTCTACGCCTCCTGTCCCCCATTCTGATGACACCCCCTTTTTTTTTTTTTTTGGTACCGGCGATCGAACTTGGGTCCTTGCGCTTGCGAGGCAGGCGACAGAACCACTGAGCTAAATCCCGAGCCCTGCACCCCCTTTCTGGTCAGCGTTGATCGGTGTCCCCTGCCTCCGCCACTGCCCCTGGCCTCCAGGATTCGGTCCCACGGCCTCTGTTCGGTCCCGGGACTCCAGCACCAAGGACAGAGCCACCTCATAGTAGGTGCTCAGTAAACACTGGCCACTTGGGTGGAATGAATGGAAACGCGGGGGTTTATCACAGAGGGGAACCTGAGGCACGGACAAGGGAAGGTCGCTCGTCCAGGCAGCCAAGGGAAGGCGGAGCCAGGTTCGACGGACGGTCACCGCACCCTGAGGCTCTGTCGCCGATTCTTCTCCCATCCCCACCTGTGCCTGGGCCCTGCACAGCGCCTGGCACCGGCAGGACCTGGTCAATGCGGGTTTGTTGGCGGATGAATGAATGAGCGTATTTGCCAGGGGTAGAGGGGGCTGGGCTGGGCTCCAGGCTCCTCCCCGCCCGTCCGGACAGCTCAGCCCCGCCCTGCGGACCCCAGCGCCCCCGCCCGGTCCCCGCTTCCGGCTTCCCAGCCGCTCTCTCCTCTGCCAGGCTCGGCCACAGGTTGCGTTTCCGGGAGGAAGGCTTAGGCGGTGACACCGGCCCAGCCTCCTCCCCGCCCCTGCCGCGGCCCCCTCCCTCCCGCAGCTCCGCGCGTCCGGCCCCGGAGGAAGAAAGGAGCAGGAGGCGCAGGTAAGGGGGACCTCGAGAGGGAGGGGACCCCGGCCCGACCGGGCCCAGCTCTGCAGATCCAGCTGCTGCGGGGCCTGCACTGCGGACAGCGGATCGCAGGGATGGGGACCCAGGCCCAGCACCTCGCCAGCCCCTTCCACGGCCTCCTCCTCCTCCCTGGGTTGCAGGAGGCAGCGGCAGCTCCCGGGCTCTGGGACAGACCCTGCCCAGCTCCTCCACTGGACGGAGAGCCACTGTCCTAACCACGGGAGTGCACTCCAGCCACGCTCCTGTCCAGTCGGCTCCCGGCCCGGCCTCCTCCCTCAAACCCGGGGTCCAGGCCCAGCCTCCTCCCTCAGACCCGGGGTCCAGGCCCAGCCTCCTCCCTCAGACCCGGGGTCCAGGCCCAGCCTCCTCCCACAGAGCTGGATTCCGAACTCTCTGGCTCCCTGACCTCCCATCCCCTCCGTTCCGGGCACCCCGTCTCTATTTCCAGGCAGAACAGACTTTGAATCCCAGCCGCTCCACTGGGGGCCCTAGGGTTGGTTCCCCTGCCCTTCCCCAAACTTTTAGCCCTGGTCCTGGAGCAGAAGCAGCCGTCTGACTGTCTCCTCTCTTGTCTGTCTGTCCTCTGTGTCCCCGCCCACCCTCCCGTCCTCTGGCCTCCACACCGCCCCGTCCCGGGTCCCTCCCCTCCCCTCCCACCTCCCACCGTTTCCCTGTGCTGTCTATCGCCACCCTGTGTCCCGCATCTTCTCTTCCTCTCTGTCCCCTCATCTCTCATCTCTGCGCCTCTGCCTGCCCCTGGCCGCGGCGCTGACCCTCCCTGGCCACCTCCTCCCCTCCCCAGGCCCCGCATCTCTCCGTAGGATGGATCCGCAGCCCCCTCCGCCGGCGCAGGGCAGCCCTCCTCACCGCGGCCGGGGCCGGGGCCGAGGCCGGGGCCGCGGCCGGGGCCGGGGCCGGGGCCGCGGGGGTGCGGGAGCCCCGCGAGCGCCCCTGCCGTGCCCCACCTGCGGCCGCCTCTTCCGCTTCCCCTACTACCTCTCGCGGCACCGGCTGAGCCACTCGGGGCTGCGGCCTCACGCGTGCCCGCTGTGCCCCAAAGCCTTCCGGCGGCCCGCGCACCTGTCGCGCCACCTGCGGGGCCACGGCCCGCAGCCCCCGCTGCGCTGCGCCGCCTGTCCGCGCACCTTCCCGGAGCCCGCGCAGCTGCGCCGCCACCTGGCGCAGGAGCACGCAGGCGGCGAGGTGGAACTGGCCACGGAGCGTGCGGCCAAGGAGGAGGGCGAGGGCGCTGAGCAGCCGGCGGCGGGCGCCGAGGGTGAGCCGTGGGCCCCCGGGGAGCCCGAGCCGGCCGTGACCCCGAGCACGGAGCTGCACACACCCGAGCCCGAGGCTGTCGAGGCCGGGGCGGCCGAGCTGCGCGCGGAGCTGGCGCTGGCGGCCGGGCGGCAGGAGGAGAAGCAGGTGCTGCTGCAGGCCGACTGGACGCTGCTGTGCCTGCGCTGCCGCGAGGCCTTCGCCACCAAGGGCGAGCTCAAGGCGCACCCGTGCCTGCGCCCTGAGGGCGAGCAGGAGGCCGAGGGTGGGCCGCCGCCGCGGCCCAAGCGACACCAGTGCTCCATCTGCCTCAAGGCCTTCGCCAGGCCCTGGTCGCTGTCTCGCCACCGGCTGGTCCACTCCACCGACCGCCCGTTCGTGTGCCCGGACTGCGGCCTGGCCTTCCGCCTGGCCTCCTACCTCCGCCAGCACCGCCGCGTGCACGGCCCGCTCAGCCTGCTGGTGCCGCTGCCCAAGAAGGACGACAGAGCCGCGGGCGCCCGGAACTCGGGCCGGGGACCCGAGGGCGGCGAGGGCGCCACGGAGGGGGGCGACGGCGGCGAGAACGGGGGCGACGCGGGCCCCGCGCGCCCCCCCGCCGGCGAGCCCCGCTTCTGGTGCCCTGAGTGCGGCAAGGGCTTCCGTCGCCGCGCGCACCTGCGCCAGCACGGCGTCACGCACTCGGGCGCGCGCCCCTTCCAGTGCGTGCGCTGCCAGCGCGAGTTCAAGCGTCTGGCCGACCTGGCGCGCCACGCGCAGGTGCACGCGGGTGGCCCGGCCCCGCACCTCTGCCCTCGGTGCCCGCGGCGCTTCTCGCGTGCCTACAGCCTTCTGCGCCACCAGCGATGCCACCGCGCCGAGCTGGAGCTGGAGAGGGCGGCCGCGCTGCAGGCCCTGCAGGCCCAGGCTTCGCAGTCCCCGGCTCCGCTGGAGCAGGAAGCCGAGGGGCTCCCGCTGCCCGTTGTGCGCATCAAGGAGGAACCGCCCTCGCCGGGGACTCTGCCCCAGTCCCCGGCGGCACCCCCGGTCTTCCTCAGCGCCTCCTGCTTCGACAGCCAAGACCACTCAGCCTTCAAGATGGAAGAGGACGAGGTGGACAGCAAAGCCCAGCTGCGTGGCTTGGGCGGCCTGGCCTCCTGACCCTCGAGGCCCCTCCGCCCTCCTCTGGTTTGCAATGGAAGGAGAGGACCCCCCTTGCTGACCCCCTCGAGCCCTGGCCCTAGGAGCAAAGGCCCTGGGCCGCCCCCACCCTTCGCCCTCCCCAGACCCCGATGCCGCCCCGAAGAGCGTCTTCAGGCAGGACGACTTGGAACCGGAGGCAGAGGCCGCTAGGCCAGAGGGAGGTGGGCGGGTGGCCTCGCCCGGCCGGCCTGTCCCGTGACACACACTGGACACCATCACCTCTTTGGAACGCCCACCAGGGCGCCCTGTGAGCAAAGGTCAGACCCTGTCCCTCTGTCTGTGAATAAATGTGAGCTCGTGAACCTGCGTGCTGCTGTCTGTGCAGGGCGCTAGGGGGCTCGCACGCCGAGCCCTCAACCAAGCAGGAAGCCAGGAGCCTGAGAAAAAAGGGGACGCAGGGTCCTCACACTTGTGTACCCACCAGAGACACACACCACCGGGTCCTGCCCATGCTGAGGATGAGGAAGCCAATCCCTTCCCAGGGAGCCGAGATCTACAGCTGCACTGCCCCAAGGGAGCTTTTTGTGGCCGTGGAATATTCTAGATCTTTTCTGTTCTCTAGCCATGTGTGACTGTTTTGTTTAAACGTAGAATAAGTAAATACAGGCCGGAGTGGCAGTGGGTCTCACTACCTGCTCAGGCTGGAACTGAACTAGCCAACCTCCTGCCTCAGCCTCCTAGAGGGCTGGGATTACAGGTGTGCGCCACTGTACTCAGCTCTACCTTTTTCCTTAACCCACTTTTTTAGGCCATAGGAGTGGAGTGGAGGGAGGAAGAGTGTCTGCCAGCCAACCTTCCTTAACCTCTTTCTTGTGCCATCTGCCTTCCCACCACCACCTTCAGTGGCTCTCTTGCCATATGTAAATAATAGCACTTAGGTGTCCTCCCTCCTGCAAGAAAAAGGAAGTGAGCATGGGGGTCACCCCATTTTCCAGGCCCCAAGGGGCAGGCGGTCCCCCCACCTGAGCCCTTGGAACACAGCTGCCACTAACCATCCTGGCTGCTCCTGTGGCGTGGGCTGGGTTGGGCTTGGAGGACAGTGTAGGTGACCGCCCAGTCCAGCTCAGGGGCCAGGCAAGGACCAAACACGGGCACCAAGAAGTTAGGGTTCCCTGATGAGCCTGTCCGCCAAGGACCGGTCCTGTAAGGCTGGGAGCCTCGGTGCTATTCCCCAAGCCTCCCCCTCCCCAGGGGCCGTGGTGGCTCCCTAGTGTCACATGCAGGTGTGAGCCACTGTTCAGTGACCGCTTCTGTGGTCACACACCTGGCCAACACAGTGTCATGAACAAAACCTGCCATAGGGCCGGGGACTTAGCTCAGTGGTTTCACCGCCTGCTGTGCAAGCGCAAGGACCCGAATTCCATCCCTGGTACCAAAAAAAAACCCTGCCTGTCAAGAGAGGGGGCTCCACAGCCCCACTTGAGAGGGGACGCACTGAGCCGGCGGTCGTGACCCCTTGTTGTCCCTTCATATTCAGCGAGCTACTTCCCAGGGAGGGCTGAAGACAGCAGGGTCCCTGCTCGTGGCCGCTGCCACTTTGTTACCACACCCAGGCTGGCTGACAGATAGATGAGCTGGCGCCCCTCCCCCAGGGAAGCAGGGAGCAGCTCACTTTCCAGAGGCAGGAGGAGCACCCCGAGAGGGAGGCAGACTCAGACCCAGGGACAAAACCGCCACACCCGGCTCCCCAGGCACAGCCAGCACCCGGCCTCCTTTATAGCTCAGGTCTGCAACACCCTCAAAGTCTCCTGCCTGTGGGAGGGGATCAGGTCGTGGAGTCGCTCTGCTCCTCTGGGTTCGTCTGCAGAGGAGTTCTTAGCTGACTGTGCTGCTGGGAGGCAGGGCCTGGCGGGACATGGGTCTCTGGGGGGTGACCTGGAAGGGTGCTTTGTGTCCTTGGCTCTTCCCTTCTGTCTCTGCTTCCTGGCTGCTGGGGTGAGCAGCTGTCCTCCACCAGGCCCTTCCACCACACTTTCTGTCTTGGAGCTGGCCAGCCATGGCTGAACCCACCGAAACTGTGAGCCAGATAAACCTCTCCTCAACGCTGCGGGTGTCGATGTGGTGTCCCAGTGCCATGACAGCTCACTGACACAGTCCCCCCACATGCATCCTGCCCAGGCCAAGGCCCCATCCCTGCACTGGGAGTGCCTCCCACCTTCCCCACCCTATCCGCCACCTCTGCCTCATGCAGCTGCTGCCTCTGGAGAGAAACATTCCCAGGAAGAAATCCAGACGCTGTGGAGAGGACAGGCCTCAGAGAGGCAGCGAGCTCCTCTGCTTCACTTCGGAATACTCGGACAGAGGCTCTGGGGACAAACAGTAGTCTCACTGGGTGTGGGGGGCAGGCCTGGACTACACAGCCAGACTCTGTCTGACACAAGCCAGGTGAGGTGTGCACCATACCAGTCCTGTGCACAAGAGGAGGGTGGGCTGATGGGAGGCATCTTAGAGCTTTCAGTGATAGCAGCTGGCTGCGGTGGCACTGTGCTCAGACCCTGGCACACACATAGACAACACTCGCCTGCAGGGCCCTCAAGCCTTTCTCCATACCTCGGAGGACCACGCAGCTTGGCTTTAATCCTCAAGACAGCCCTATAAAATACTTACCACGAGCTCCAGTCGTTTTTGGTTTTGGGTTTTATTTGTTTGTGTTGGTGTTTCGAGACAGGGCCTCACTGTGTACCCCAGGCTGGCCCCTGGGAGGGATGGAAATGCTCCAGACGGACCCTGGGAATTGCTGCGCAACTCCATGGATTCACAAGTCGCTGAACTGATGGGAGAAGTCTGAGATCCTGCCTCAAAAAACCAACAAAACAAAATTTAATACAGTAAAAGATACATTGCCATGGATCCTCCTCCAAACACACCACGTACTCCCCACAGCTTCAAACACACTTATGTTCGTTCTTGGCAATCATCTTTTACGTATTCAGTTTTTTTGTTGTTGTTGTTGTTGTTGTTTTTTGGTACTGGGGATCGAACTTGGGTCCTTGCGCTTGCAAGGCAAGCGACGGATCCACTGAGCTAAATCCCCAGCCCCAACATATTCAGTTTTTATCAAATTTAAACACTCACCGTACATTTCGATCCATCACACATGTGTCCATCACTCTTGGGCAGATTCTAGGCACAGGACTAGGTGAAGCTGCAGAGAGTCTATGATGATTCACTTTTCAAGAAACGCTGGATGTTTTCCCCACGTGACTGCACCATCCACAGCTTCCCCAGCAACATCAGCCCCAAGAGGCTCGATTCCCACAGAATCACCAGCACAGAGAGGCGACCCACTTGAACCAAGGCCACACAGCAGGAAGCGGCACAGCTGGGGTGGCCCAGCACTGTGGGCCAGGGAGGGAGGAGCCACGGGTGCCAGTCGGAGGAGAGAGCAAAGGGACAGTGTCCAGAGGGGCTCTGCAGGGGCTGGGGTCCTGGGGCAGCTGTGTTAGCTTTTCTCTCATTGCTGAGACAAAATACCCGATACCAAAGTTAGAGGGGAAGGGTTTATTTGGCTCACAGTTTGTAGAGGTTTCAGTCCATAGTCAGCTAGCTCCAAGGCAGGGATGGCAAACAGGCCTCACAGAGTAGAAACAACATGGTGTGTACAAGGCAGCAAAGGTAACAAGGGACCTTAACGGCATCTTTCTGCTCCTTTTATCTTATTCAGACTACTGGGATTAGGGAAGCGCCAAACCAATCACTCACATGTAGTGGTTTAGTAATCACACGCTCATAACCCCAGCGTCGCACATTCCAGATTCAACCACCTCCAAAAGAGAAAACCTCACCTCATCCGCATGAGGCTTTGGGGTGCTCTAAGCACAAACCATCACAGCAGGGATGTGACAGTGGGGAGCAGGGAGCCTTGGGGTGACAGAGCCTTACCAGAGGGGCATGGTGGTGGGAAAGGAGTAAGGGGTTGTGGACCGCGGCTCAGTCAGGGACTCAAAGCCAGATGGGGCATTGGAGAAGCAGGCAGAGCCGAAAGGATTTGACTTGTTTCTTTTATCATGTTATTGTGAAATTTTAAAAACATATGGAAAATGACCCAGGCATTGTGGCCTGTAATTCCAGGACTTGGGAGGCTGAGGCAGAAAGATCACCATGACTTCAAGGCCAGCCTGAACTACATAGCAAGACCCTGTCTCAAAAAACAAAAACAAAAACAAAAAACGGAAAGTGGAAACCACTGAATGGTAACTCCCTGGAGTCTTCAATTGGTATTTTGCTTTATTTTCTTCTTAATCTGTCTATCCATCTGTCCATCTGCCCATCCATCCATCCACCCGCCATCTTTTTATTTTATTTATTTATTTATTTTTTTTTGATACCGGGGATGGAACTCGAAACCTTGTGCTTGTGAGACAAGCGGTGGAACCACTGAGCTAAATCCCCAGCCCCCACCATCTTTTAAAAATAAACTTTATTTTTAGGGTAGTTTTAGGCTCACAGTAGAATTGAACAAAAGTAGAGACTTCCCAGACATCTATCTTTAAAAAAAAATTCAAAGCAACTTATAAATAGCAATTCACTTTGCTCCACACACTCCAGCGTGCCAATCAGAACAAGCTAGCAGATACCTAAGTTTCTTGTCCTTAGCAAAATGTAAGTACAGTGCGATGCATATGTTTTCAATGCTGTGTTTGACTCCCCTGGACAAACACATACACCCGAGCAGTACAGGCCTCCTCTTCACAGATTCTCCCGGCTGCTTCTGACGCCTTTGCTGGTCATGGGACAGGGCGTTCATAAGCCCGGTCGCTGCTATACTTGCTTCATTCCATTTTTACTTTTTTCTTTTTACTCAGTGCTGGGGATTGAACCCAGGGCCTGGTGCTCTACCACTACGCTTCATCCTCTGCCCCTCCCTTTTTTTTTTTTTTTGGTACGGGGGATCGAACTCGGGTCCTTGCGCTTTCGAAGCAGGGGGCGAAACCACTGAGCTAAATCCCGGGCACAGCCCTCCCTTTTTTTGGAGACAAGTTTTTGCCAAGTCTCCAAATTGCTCAGGCTTGGCTTTGACTTTCGATCCTCCTGCCTCAGCCTCCATCATGCATGGCTTCAGCTTTTTTTTTTTTTAACCGCTTTTTCTTTTAGAAACGTTCAGACTTCCAGAGCAGGTGGAGTAACAGTAGACCCCTGTGGACCCGCATGCTTCCCCAAAATGTTGCCATCGCCCACTACCCACCGCAGCTCGTCTGTCTGCACCCCCCAGCGCTCCACCTCCTGGGGGGCTTGGCTATTTCAGGGAGGCGTTCGGGTTAGGGCAACCTTGCCGTTTGACTTTGGGGGCCGGGCTGGACCC